CATGAATAAAGTATAGAAGACAAGTGCAATATGAAAAGATTAAAATATATATATAAATATATAAGATATCATGGAATAGAAGATACTAAATAGTAAAAATACACAGTTACTAAAGAGCTCAGCACGTACAGATCAAATTTTCACCTGCTTAAAAGTAGCAGTTTGGTAAATTGGCGTACTCATTGCTCCATAAGGATCAAACTCATTATCGAAATTCAGTAAAACTGTAGAAAGGGAAGGCTCGCTGGTCCGTTCTTCTGCAAATAGAAGCTAAAACTATTTACATATAAAACTAAAATCATTCATACAGTATCAACACAAGAAAAACCGCACAAACCACTTGGGCACTCTGTAATACTGTCCGCCAAAATCGATGTGCTCACATTTGTATCCCTATCTATTGAACAATTCAGTGTGAACACCTTCAGTCGGTTTGACTTCGAACTGGGCGACTTGTTAAATCCCAATCTCTCCCACGCATAGCCAGCAGTTGTAGTCTAAAACACAATAATGAGAAAGGTAATCATTATGCGCACAGACTACAATAGGAATTTTAATTTTATCAAGGTCCTGTATATCCTCTTCATAAACGTACGGTACAAAAATCAAACCTTCCCAGCATCTGGAATATTATCACGGCAGTTATACCTACAATAACTACGAGAAGAATATATTTTTTTGGTAAAGATGCCAACAACTCAGCGAATAGCAGCGCTTTACATTTCACGTTTCTCGCCCAAAAATTATATAAGGTGCATTAAGTGTTTAACTCAATGATCATTGTTACCTTCGCGCGGAGATCAATAGCGACTGGAGTAACGAAAGGCCTGAGAAAAGCAGAGGCCAAAGCCATCACTGAAGATCAAGAAAGCGCTATGTTTCACTCACGCTCTTCAGGCTGCGGATTATGCAGTCCCCGTTGACCTTAGCATCAATTTCCCGGGCTTCTCCGCTCATCACCCTCGTTTCAGCCCTTCAAGCCATCCATGACAACACAGAGCATCACGTCATACACGGCCTCACACTATCATAAAAAAACAGTTCAGACTTCAGAGCCAACACAAGGCAGTCAGGTACCAATATCCAGTAATCCAATCATGCAAAGTACCAATTCAGAACGAATAGAGCATATACGAAGCTTGTTCGATTAATTCAAATTGCAAAGCTTCCCGGTCTGATAAGCTTGCTTATAGGTGGAAAAGGAAGCATCTCTTTCAAGATGGAAACAACAAAGGAAAAGGAGAAATAGGAATGAAGAAGATGAAGTAGATCATGGAGGAAGAAGATAGACAAAGAAGTTGGTGGAAGAAGACGACGCACCTGATTCCGGCGATGGCTAAATTCTTTGTGGTAGCAAGCGACGGCGGACGACGCCTGTGGAGGAAATAAGCGACGATAATGCCGAGGGAGAGCACAGGGAAGTTTCAGTTCGGGGCTGAAGAGGGGGAGGAGTGTGAAATAGTATATGTTGTGTATGTCCTTCTTCGGTCTTATTTATGCAGTGTCGTGTCTCGTCTATTTTGATGGAATGCTCAAAACTTCCTTACATCACACTACATCAACACACAACCGTATCTAGACGCCATTCGTGACGGGGGAATAGGGTTGGGAAGGATAACAATAATAATTAATGTTTCATGAAAAAAAAATAACAAATTAATAATTATATCCTTTAAATTTAAGTTATCTTTATCATCGTGGAGAGCGATTTGTATGCTGGCTAATGTTGCTTTGCCTTGCAGAATAACAAGACATCTGTTCGTCAACTTCAGAGAGTCCACTCTCTCGTGCGAGATTTAGGCCAAGCATGTGATTTGAGAGCGCAATATGTTTGTTGACGGGCTTGCTGAACAAAGCAACCTGAATCTTGTAAGATTTTAGTCGGAGTTCCTTCTCAGCTTTGGTGTTTCTCAGTCTCACCATTGCATGACTATTAATTAATATTCCCTTGGTACATTTATTAGTAACTTCTTCCCATATATTACACCAAAACTAAAAAAAAAAATATCTTAAAATTTGTTAACTTTATCTTAAAATTTAATAAATTTTAAATTTATTCTTTTTAAATATATATATTTTAATAACATTTTTTCACTTTAATATTCAGCTGAAGATAGAAGAAAACATTTGTTTTAAAAATTTAAATTTAATAAAGAGACTTATAAATATGATAAAAACCCTCTTTTTTATAAATAGAATCAACAAGAGTAAAAAGTAAAGAGTATGGGCTTTACCCCATTTTTATGCAAAAATTACTCCCTCCGTTTAAAAATGTAAGATATTTTTAACTAAATCTCACCTCCAATAAAGTAGTTACCTACTTTTCAACTAACCCTATCTTTTTATATTTATCCCTATTAAACACCTTTTCATAAATATAAAGTCATTATCAATGGAAGCACTTTTGAAAAAAAGCAATAATTACACATTAAAAGACTAAAAATGCCTTATATTTTTTAACGAAGGGAGTATTTTTTTTACAAATGAGGATTGTTTAGGTTTTAAGATTTTGACACCATGATTAAAAAATGCAATAAACAATAAATAACTTAACAAACTGTGTAGTTTTTTTTTTGTAAGTGTGTTATCCTTTTTTTAATTTTTTCCTGTGATTGCGCCATATTTAAAAATGTTAGGTTAATTATTTATTAAGGATAAAATTTGGAAAAAATTGTTTATTTATTTGACTCATAAGTGTTTAACTTTATTGCTTTATTGCTTATATTTTTTTGACAACATGAATAAGTGATCAATAAGTGAAGAACAACAACTACAAGTTACTTGTATGTTTTTGGTTTGAAAAAATAAAAAATACTATTTTTTATATTTTAAAAGTTCTCCTGTTAAATTAACTTCAATTCAAAGTGACTATAGTGTTTGTGGTGGTGTCTTGAAAGATTCAAATGAAAGCTGGATTCAAGACTTCAATCAAAGGTTGGGCACTATTCTAGCTACCATTTCTGAAGTTTATGAAATCTTTAAGGGCTTGAATTATGTTGGCCAAATAGATTCAGGACAGTGGATGATTTTTTTAATTGAACGCATGCTATTGACAATTACAAAGAACAATCATAATTATTATCATTTTCATAATATTATTGATTATACGAAGCAGCTTTTGTGTAAGAATTTAATTGTATGTATGAAGAGGATAAGATCACGGGCTGTTTATTTAGCCAAGTTAGCTTACATCTCCCTGATGACTTCAACCCTTTTGACCTCCCACCTGTCTAGTTTAGTCTCTTGGGTGGTTGATGGTTTGTTGGTCTTTGTCGTTTATTTCCTTTGCCTTGTTCACTTTATGTTGAATGAGATTCCAGTTCATAGCCCCAAAAGAGAGAAAGAGAGAACCCTTCAACTAGACTCATATTTTGAGCAGGAACAAATATTTTTGTAAAAATTTTCCACAAAATCTAGTAATCATGGAAAAAAAAGAAAAGAAGTTCCAGAGATGGGAGTGGGAGTTATTTTTATAATTTTGAAGTCTGCCAATGATTTTAAGCAAAATCTCACAACTATAAATGCACGCTGAGTTTAATGGTCTGAGCATTTTGTTTACAATTTTTTTTTTTGGGTATTCTTGTCGAGGACCGATACCATGTCAAGAATGACATACGGTTTGTATAAAGTTAAGTTTACATTTTTTTTTCCCCAATAGGCATTCAAGATATGCGTATGTCACCTCTAACATGGTATAGAGGAAATACAATATAAAATAAAGGACTGTGCAAAAATCTCATAATTTGTTTCAACTCGGTCCAATTTATGAAACTCGATCCAGTCTGATCCTATAAACATTGATCCTGTGGGATCAAAAAGACAATACTATTTTTTCAAATAAAACCAGACTAGAGACCAAGCATTTAGACTAAGTGGTCCAATCTCATTCTACGTAATTATTTTAATATAATTAAAATTAATTCATGAATTATTAATTAATAAGTCTTACACGAGATAAGTCCCTCCCCTATGGGTCACTCACATTCTCACACGCATTGGAGCTTCTCTCAATCTCTCATTCTCACATAGACATAAATGATGCCTTAGCATCTATAGCTGCTCTTTGCTAGTGCGCTACTATCGTCAATCAAGTTGGTCGTCACCTCTCGCCTTTGATTCATCGTCGAGCACGTCGCACCATCACCCTACCCGTGCCTTCCATCACCCTTGACCTCTGATTCATTGTCGAGCACTCCAGGTATGTTCGCACTGGGTTTCTTGATTGTTTCTGATTCTCATTTTTGCAGGAACTCAGCAATTCTAATTTCATTCCATGTTAAAAGACGTCTTAAGCCACCTTTCAAGTTTTTTTCCCTTCCTGAAGCTTTATTGTTGTGTTAATCTACATTGTCCAGAACTTGGCCATTCTAATCTACATTGTCATAGAGGTTTTGTCGATATCTCAACCTAGAATTAGTAGACTAATTGGCATGAAAAATGTTGATATAAATGACATGAAAAATGTGGTAGATATAAAGGACATGAGAAACGTGATTATGTTTAAAATCCATCGCAGCATGAATTTAATTTTTGATACTTTTGTAAATTAATTGTTGCCATTCAATCAAAAGTAATTTAAGAAACCAGAACTAGGCACTATGTAGGAATTTATCTCATTTTGTGCAACAAAGGAAGCTACTTGATCCTACAACTTATTTTTATCTCAAAAACAAATATCGAGTGGGTTATAACAAATATTTTTTTGAGGAAGCTTTGTTTCAGGTTAACTCTCATAACTCGTGTAAATTGAATGTAAATTCTAGTCACAAGATAATTAGAAAAAATGTTCAAACATTAAATTGGTTGTATGTTCCCCATTGTGTTTCATTGTGGCCTATTAGAATTTGTAGGCGATGATAGCTTTGATTTAATTGATGAAATAAAAAAGAAAAAAAAGGAAGAAACTTGGTGAACATTTTGCATCTTGTTTAAGGTCTATGGGCCATAGTGAGGCTATTTTGTTTAATAAATGCAAAAAAAAAATTATTTCTCACATAAATGGTAGTGAATGAAATCAATTTATATGAGTGAAGATACAAAAAAAGATTCTTGTTAGAAGTTTAGAATGTGATGTCATGTGATTCACTTGGAAGAAGTCTCCTTATTTAATTTGACATCTACATATATTACTTTAATTGAGTTTATTGAGTTAAAATATATTATTGCCTCTCATGGAAAAAAAAAAGCTAAGTATTAATTAATAGGATCAGTTTTTCAATTTTAAGGACTAAGTCCAATCTTGTTAATATTTAAATCATTACTGGACCAGATTGAACTACCGATTGTGTAACTTAATTCTTTTTGTGAAAGGGACTAGACTTTGAGTTAGTTGAAGTTCAATCCTTCGTGTAGCCCTTACAATATGTAAAAACATTAAACAACATACTTGAAATCAATATTTAAAAAAAAACTTTAATAATATTATGTAAAAACATTAAACATACTTGAAATCAATATTTTAAAAAAAACTTTAATAATATAATGCTTGATTTGTACTTAATAATATAAATATAAATATAAATATATCTGACTAACTTCTTTTGCCTGTAATACCTAATTACATCTAATCTAAATTCAAGGAAAACATATTTACCATTACAATTTACAAGCTAGTGATGTGAGTGGGTCCTTAATGCCCATTTGGCTTACCTACATGTTATATTTAAAAAGGACTTTTCAAAGTTTAAAAATGTTAAAGTTGTTTAATTTTTTCAAATTATTTTTAAAAGTTCATTTAAAAATACATTAAAAAAATTCAAATTCCATTTCTTGAACTTAATTTTGAATAGTTTTTTAAAAATATTTTATATAATTTTGTCATCAATTAATTCTCACTCTTATATTTTCACTTAATAATTATCATAATTTAAATAATTTTTAATTTATCAAGTCAATCATTTCTTTTAAAAAATATTTAAATATAAATTTTATCATAATAATTAATTTTTATTAAATAATTTTGACCAAGTAGACTTTCAATTAAGGAACTTTCAGCAAACTGAAAAATAAAGCACACTATTTACAGGCTAGCTTCGAAATTTACTTTTCAGGCTAAAAACGAGGAGTTTACTGTTGATTATATGAGGATTTTGGTTGATTGACTGTTGATTATGACTGACTGCCTTCGAAGACGAAACTATCGATTCCAGAGAGCAAGGGGGCGGAACTCCGGGGGTGGGAAGAGAGCGGGTGATGGCATCGAGCTTGCAGAAGATCGAAGGGGATGATTCAGTTTTGTTGCGCGTCACCCATTCAAATATCAAGACTTTCTCCTCCGACATTCGATTCTCGCAGCAGGTGTGTGTCACTTTACGAACTTTTTGCCATCCACGCTTCCCTATCAAATTCTTCTTTGTTTTCCGCGATTTGAAAGTTACTCACTTGTTTCGTAGATGTCTGTCGAATCAGTAAAAGAGAAGCTCTGGAAAAAATGC